CAAACAATACCATTAAGAACGTGAAAAGTCAACCCACAGAATGAGAGAATATATTTGCAAATTATATATCTGATAAAAGACTTTTATCTAGAATAGATAAAGAACTTTTGAAACTCAATAATAAGAAGACAACTCAATTAAAAAATGAGCAAAGAGTCTGAATAGACATTTCTCCAAAGAAGATGTACAAATGCCCAAAAGGACATGAAAAGATGCTCAATATCATTGATGCACAAGACAGTAGGGAAATAAATGCACATAAAAATCACAATGAGCTAGCATTTCAAACCCATTAGGATTGCTGTAATCAAAAAGATAATAACAAGTATAGGCTAAGAAATGAAGAAACTGGAACCCTCATAGATCACTGGAGGGAATGAAAAATTATGCAGACATTTTGGAAAACAATCTGGCTGTTCCTGAAATATTCAATATAGAATTACCATGTGATCTAGCAATTCTACTCATGGCATATATCCAGGAGAAAGAAAAACATATGTCCATGCAAACACATGAACACAAACGTTCACAGCAGCATTACTGATAGCAGCCAAAGGGTGGAAACTACCCAAATGTCCATCAACATATTTATCCACAATGAATGGATAAACAAAATTTGGTATACCCATAATGAAATATTATTTGGCAATAAGAAGGAATGAAATACTGATACATGCCACAACATGGAAGAGCCTTGAACACATTATGCCAAGTGAAAAAAGCCAGTCACACAAAGCCACATAGGGGACAATCTCAATAGACAAATGTATAGAAAAAGAAAGTAAATTAGTAATTGCCTAGGACTGAGGGGAAGAAGAATAGAATGATGAGTAACTACTAATGGATACACGATTCTTTTTGGGGTGATGAAAATGTTCTAAACTTACATTATGGCAATAGTTGTACAAATCTGTGAATATACACATATATTAAAAAAAACCTTTTAGTTTTATACTTTAAATTTAATTCAGTTAAATGACTGAGTTAATGGAATGTAAATTCTATCTCAATAAGGATTTTTTTTCTAAAGACAACCTAAGTGATCACCAGGCCACTGCAACTTTTTTGAGTTTGGGAGTTTGGCTCTTGAGGGAAGAAGGGCTATTATGTTATTAAGTATGGAATGTCCGATTTCCTTAAGTACCAAGTTTGACAGTTGATATCTCTGATATTTCACTTTGACATTTCTTGGTTTTTTTTTTTCTTTTCTTTTTTATTGTGAAGGTACATTCTCATTCTTTCAAACGCTTAGTTTTGGCTTGTGATTATCTTTCAATTTTTTTAGAGCAATTTTTGTGAAACCATGGATAAGTAAAAAAATTCATGATATTTTTGAATTATGAGTTCCATCATGGAACCAATGTAATGCAGACATCTTGAAATATCAACAAAGTGTTTGGGAAGGATGTGGCTAATGAATGCACAGTACATCGATGGTTTGAAAAGTTCCATTCTGGTGATTTTAATCTTGAAAATGAGCCATACGGGTGACCTGAGAGCAAGGTGGATAATGATGAGCTGAAAGCTGTAGTGAAAGCAAATCCATCTCAACCTATGCACAAATTAGCAGCAAGGTTTGACATTACTATTCCAACAATACTGGACCATTTAAAACAAACTGGCAAGGTAAAGAAGCTGGATAGATGGATACTCCACATGAATTAAATGAGCATTAAAAAAGAAATCATCCCGAAGCTTGCCTTTTTTGATGTCATGACATAAACGCGAGCCATTTCTACACCATTTTTTTATGTGTGATGAAAAATGGATTCTTTTTGACAATTGCAAGTGTTCAGCACAAAGGGTGGATAAAGATGAAGGCCAAAACACAGTCCAAAACCAAATATTCATCAAAAAAAGCTAATGGGGTCAGTTTTCTGTTTGCTGGTCCAGTGCTGGTATTATGCACTACAGCTTCATGAAACCTGGTCAATCGATTACAGCAGTTGTCTACTGCAACCAACTGGACAAAATGATAACGATGCTTGGATTAAGCAGCTGAGATTGGTCAATAGAGAGAGGCCGAGCCTCTTGCAAGACAATATGTCACCAAAAACAATGCTGCTCAAACTACAGAAGCTGGACTTGGAAACTCTTTGTCATCCACTATATGCACCAGACCTTGCACCAACTGACTACCACTTCTTCCAGGTTTTGGAGCACTTCTTTTTCTTTTTCTTTTTCTTTTCTTTTGAGACAGAGTCTCACTCTGTCACCTGGCTAGAGTGCCTTGGTCACCATGTCCAGCCTGGACCACTTCTTGCAAGGAAAGATGCTGTGGAAAAAAAAAAAAAAAAAGATGCTGTGGAAAACACCTTTCATGATTTCATCATCACTAGCTCTCCAGCTTTCTTCGTTGCTGGCATAAGCAAGCTACTGTTAAGATGGCAAAACTGTGTCAATTGTTTAGGCACATACCTTGATTAATTGTGCTGCTTCTTGTTTGAGATATAATAAACATTTGATTGGAAATCGGACATTTCATATTTAATAACCTAATACTTTGGGCCAGCAAGGATATTATTTCTTGAAACTAACCTTTGATTGAAATTAGACAAGACTGTGATCACTGACAATTCCAGGTACAGATTTTGTGTTTTCAATCAAGGGAAAAATTTTAAGTAGTTAGTTAACTAGTTAGTTCCTCTGTCAGGCGAGACATGGCATATCTGTTTTATAGACTGCCCTTGGGAACTATGTGAATCTCAGGCCAGCAGGCTGCCCTCTGCTCTGGAACATATTTCCAGGTCAGTTGCCCCCACCATCAATTAGTGTGTGTGCTCAAGAGAATGCAAACTGATTTCAGCACCATCTTAAACAAAACATAATTAGGAAGGTAAGTATCCTGCCAAAAAATTACATAATGCATGCCAAAGCCAAACAAAAATGAGTTTTGGACCAACCACGCTGAATATATGAATTTATCACAGAGTTAAATGGTTAATAGTCATACACATTTATGTATTGTACAACTTATATTTTCAACTTAAATCTTTCTTTTAGGATTCAGTAATTTTACTAGTTCAAGTTTAATACACACAAAAATTAGCAAGCTAAAAAGTTTTAAACATTTGCCTCACTATAACATGTTTATCCACTACCTCCAGTGCCTTATATTCCAAAATGTTCAAACATCTCACTATTCGAAGTTGGTCCACAGCCTGGGTATCACCTGGGAGACCCACTCAAAACTACTGAGTTAAAATTTGAATTTTAATAAGATCCTCAAACAATTTGTGTGCACATTAAAGTGTGAGAGGCCTTGCTCTCACTAGACTGATGCTCAATGCAGAGCAGCCTCAGGAAAATTAGGCAGTGGATCACCACTAGAAATCTCGATTAAGACAATGCCTAAGTGCAGTTGTAGCAAGCTCAAAATGTCCCTATTTGATTTAAAGTGGTAAAAACTGTAAATAAAACATCCAGGAACAAAGGCTGTAGTGACCCCTTTAAATTATACAGCCAGAGGAGGTGGAGTAAAGAGCAGCTTTTTCCTAAGAGAAGCTTTTCCATTTTTCCAGTTATCCCCAGTCCTTCCTCCTGGCTTTGCCCTTTCAGCCCCAGCATCACATTTCCCAGGGGAAGTCCAGCCTGAGATACCTGGGCTGCCAGCAGCAGTGGTTAAGGGTCAATGATGGCAGGAGGGTTCCTGGGTGAAAGATGAAAACCTCACTCTTCCAGGTCTACCTCTTTGTCTGGAAAAGAGCAATTCAGACTGGGAAGCTCTGTTTGCCTTCTCCCCACTTATGTATGATTCCATAAACAGCTCCAACTCTTCTAAGCTTACAGAGTTTGAATAAATGGAAACCCATCCATTGTCCCTTTACCCCCACATTTCTGCTTCCTGCAAAGGATGTACATAATGCCAAATAACTGGGAGGTCCTCCCCCCTAGAGATCTGTGGTCTCTAGGCCATGGTAGGGGTGGAAAGACTAGGAAGGATTCAAAAAAGGGTCCCAGAGGGTGATGCATAAAATGCTGATTCTTGGGCTTTATTCTTAAGATTCTGATTCAGGAGGTCTGGGTTTAAGCCCAGAAATTCACATTTTAACAAGTGTGATTCTGATGTGGGAGATCCTGGCCCACACATGAGGAAACGGTGATATAATTGGTTGAAGACAGCAAATAAATCACTTATTCTTAAGCACCTATTTCATTTTTGAACTGATGCTGTCAACTTCTTGATTGGTTTCTAAATAGCTTTGCAATATTCATTCAGCATTTACTGAGCAACTATTTCTTGGAGAGAACTGCACTACCTGAGGCTTCTGCCATGTTTGGGCTGGGGCTGGGGAGCAGTGAGGAGTGTGATCACATCAGAGAGCTATTTCTCAGCTTCCCAGAAGAAAGACAAATTGACCCATTTCAAGATTTGTGAAACAGATTAACCAAAACAACTATATTACCTAACCACAGTTACCATAATTTACTAACCTTTTGGAACAGCTGTGTGCCAGAGGCACCAAGCCTTTTTGGGTGGGAAGGTTGATTCTGTAGCCAAACCACTAAGGTTGAAATCCTACCTTCTCCACTAATACGACCACAGAAAAATAATTTAACTTTTGCATGCCTCGGTTTCCTCATCCGTAAAGGGAATATATAACACCTATCTCAATGAGCTGTGAGCTAGTCCAAGCATTAAATGAAGCACTTAAATACCTAATTGATACAGATGTCTCCATGAATTTACATGATACTTTCTGGATATTCATTCTAGCCTTAAGTCAAGGCCACAAAACTGAGTACACTGAGGAATGATTCCAGAGGCTGATACAAAATTTTAGGTGGAAAAAGTGGAATTAAACTTTATGTTTCATTCAAGCAGTTCAGAAGAAGTATTATAACTATAGTGATCTGAGGTTTGTTCGTTTGTTTTTTAAGATTCCCTAGTCCTTGGCTTCTTTGGGAGTTTGATGCTACACTCTGCCCCAAGTCCCCTTTCAACTCCCAGGCTCAGGGGGGACGGCGAAAGCAGGTGTCCCGTGGGACCAAGACCAGGGGCGCCGGGGAGCTCGAGCCAGGCCCAGCCCCGGAGGAAGGAGGGTCCTCGGGTCCAGCAGCCCCGCGGGCCACCGCGCCCCGCCGGCCGCGCTGCAGGGAGGATGCGGACAGCGGACGGGAGCGTGCGCTGCCACGTGACGGCCGCTATAAGAGCGCCCCGGCCGGAGGCCCCGCTCCTGCCGCGCCTCCTCCCGGGCTGCGCTCCCCTCCCGGCGCCCAGCTCCTCCGAGCCACCAACCTGCGGCTGTCACGGCCGCTCGCGCCCCCGCAGCACCATGACAGGTACGCCCCGCGCGGCCCGCCGCCCCCGGGACCCCCGGCTCCTCTCCCCGCGCGCCCTCGCAGCCCGGCCGCGTCCCCTCTCCTCCCGGGCCCCTCAGGCGGGGGGAGTTCCCGGCCGGACGGGGACCGCCGCAAAGTTGCCGGCCGGCCGCAGCCGAGCGTGCTGCTCTCTGCGTCAGCTGCTGCCCCGCCGCCCCCGGGGCCCAGAGCGACGCGCAGCCAGGCAGAGCCCGGGCCCTGCGCCTGGGCTCGCGCTCCTGCTTCCGTCTCCTCGCCGCCCTTCCTCCTGCTCTCACCGTGAAGGGCGGGCGGGCGGAGCAGCTGCGCCGGGCCGAGTGGGGGCGGGGAGCCGGGTTCCCCTGGGGGCGCTGGGCGACAGTCCCCGGGCGCAGCGGGATCGCGGGGAGCCACCCCGGCCTCCCGCAGGCGGGCACCCCGGGAAGGGGCGGCCCCGGCCCGGCTCCTCCACCGCCCGCCCGGGCCCTGGCCGTCACGCTCAGGCTATTTTTAGGCCTTTGGGGCCGAGTTGCGGAAACTGGGAGCCGGGCTAGAGTCCTCGGGTAGGGGCCCCGGGAGGGCGCCGGCCTCAGCCCCACTTGTTGCAAGGCCTCTGGGCGTCCGGGCCGCTCCGCCAATCTGCCAGGAGGACTGGGAAGCTCCGAGGTAACTGATCCTTCCGCGTCGTTGAGGCTAATAGCGGGCGTTATTACAGCCACTGAACCGCCAGAAAGATGGCAGGTGTAACCCTGAGTTCAGCCGTCTTTAGAAAAATTAGACTGCTGCCCAGCTGTCATTGGTCATTCTTGATCACTGGTAATGTTTGCTAGATCTGGTATTCTAACCTGTGTCCTAAGCATTTGTTCTGACACTTATTTAATCTTGGAAATTATCCATATCCGTGCTTCCTGAAATCCTTGAATCCTACCCACCTTATTAAACTTTTCTCCATTACCTCCTGGATTCTGGACTGCTTTTGAGTCATTTTGCCCAAGTTAAGTACCTTTGGTGCTGATTAACTTTGCAAATGTTACCATCTTATTATGGGTGGAAGACAATAGAAACAAGTACAGGTAGAGGTTGATGGGCATGTTGAAGGACAGGTGTCACTGTTCAGAGCTTTCTTAGAGTGTGACTGACTGGGAAATCCGTGGCCCTCCAAGGGTGGAGAATTGTCCTTCTATAATTGAGTAGTTTGCCTGCCCTGGAAGAGAGCCCAGCAAAATGTGTGAAGATGGCTCTCAGGTCAGCAGCTGAGGGATGTGCTGGCCCACTCAGCAACCCACAACTTCCTCTCACTTCTCAGTAGAATTTCCACTACCTCCACATTGGAAAATGGGCAAGGGAGAATGAGGGTACCCAAGATAGAAAGAGAATGACTTCATAACAAAGTGTCCTAACTCCCTGGTTGGGCAACTGTGCCCCCAAATGACCCCTGCCAGAGCCTGGTCCTAAGTGTCTTATACATTTGGATAGCAAATTACCAACTTGCTAACGTTAAATCTTCTTGGAGATGGAGTGTTCCACAGGATAGTTGATGGGAAGGAGGAGAAATCTTAAAGCCTTAGCTGGTGGTCTTGGGAGGGTGGGGATTGTTCAGTAAGGAAGAATAATCCACGTTTGCCTTTTCTTCTGCCAACTAAGTGATAATTGGAGATCGGGGTATGTGTGTCTCTGTCTGTTTGGGGAGGGCATCCAGAGGACAGGGTAGGGGGTAAAGCTGGCCTCTTCAAAGAAGAAGAGGCACAGGTTTGTTAGAGCTTCTCACATGGTCTCTAAATCCATTTAACAGTGATTGGCACTATTTAGAAAGAAGTGTCAAGGAGGGAAGTCCTCTCTGGGAAGTTGATATTTGAGCAGACTCAAAGTGACTCTTCAGGAGTGTTGGGGCAAGGGAGCTTTTGCTCCAGGTTGAGGAAACAGTAAGTATAAAAAGCCTGAGGCATGGCATAAACATAAGCTCCAGAATGAAGAATATGGCCTCTGCTCTCAGACTGCCTCATTTGAGATTGACAGTTGGATTTGTGCTTGCCTGAAAAAACTGTCTACAGTACCTGGTAGAAGAACTAGGAAATGCACTTCTTGATCTCTTCATTACTACCAGTTAATTGCCTGAATTTCACCCTGTGGGTGTTAAGCTATTGTTTAGTTTGAGAATTTAGCATGTCCAAACATAAATAATTTTTATAGCTCAGTCAGCCTCTTGAGGTTGCCAGACATTTCCTGCTAGGGTCTTGAAACTTTCTTGAAGCAGGTATTTGGGTTTTCCCTCCAACGAGGCTGCTGCTTTATTAATAGAGCAGGTTGATCTCAGAGGAGCTGATTTTGCCAAATTACTGTTTGAAAAGGGTCCTGGGGAAAAGGCTTTTTTCCAGGTAAGATGATGTAATGAGTGTGGTGTTGTTTTTTTTTTTTTCTTTGTATCAAGATCAGGCCTTTGTGACACTGACCACAAACGATGCCTACGCCAAAGGTGCCTTGGTCCTGGGCTCATCTCTGAAACAGCACAGGACCACCAGGAGGCTGGCCGTGCTCACCACCCCGCAGGTCTCAGACTCCATGAGGTGAGGCCCTCGCTGCCGCCCACACGTCTGCAAGGCGCTGAAGTCCTTCTCCCCTGTTTCTGGCATCAGGGGACACTGAGGCCATACCCTTTTCAGGAGTTGAGCACTGAGTAGAGAAAGATGAGAGTTGCTGAGTGAAGGATTCCTGGGTCTGAAACCTCTTCCTAGATTTTGGGAGATATTCCAACTAGGCTCCCTTCTGGGAGGCCGTGTTTCTGGCCAACACACTTTCTGATTCCGACAAGGAGTGGAAGAAAGAGGACTCTCCCTTCACCCAGGCCTTTCTGGGTGATCTGAGTGAGTGTCTCAGTCCAGGCTTTCCCTGCTTAAATGCACCTTTATGTAGTCACAATTCACTTGCACTCCTTTCCCAAAGTGCTGCAGGGGCTACATTGTTTCCTGTTTCAGACCAGGACTTTGAAAGAAAAGTAGCCATTTTTCTCCATTGCTAGTTGACCCTTTTGTAACCTAAAGATGTTTATTTATAATACAGTACACTAGCATCTTTACCAAAGGGCTTTCTGAACTGGAGGTTTTGCTAGGGGGAAGCACACTAAGGAGCACAAGCTGCTTGTTGATTGGACTTGTTCCCTTTGATTTGTTGGACTTAAAGTTTGAAATATCTGAATAAACTACCTAGTTCTTAATTTTGAAAATATCTGGGCATACTAGCAGCTTTATGATGTGGGGTTTGTTTGTTTGTTTTGGTCTCTTAGCCCTCTTAGAAATGGAAAATGCCCTTCTTATGACTTTTAAGAAAATGTAGGCACAGGCCAAATGTCTCTGAAAAGTAGACATTATATATACATATATGCATGTCTTTCACTAACAACCTTGTTCCTAAATGGTAATTTAAGAAGATGCCAAAACAACTGTCTCTTTATATGTATGTCCTAATTCGTAGTCTATCGGTGAGGATGTATGAAAGAAACCAGATCTAGTCTTGGATTCCCTACCACCACCACCACCACCAATTTACTTTGGTCAATGATGCCCCTAACCATTTCTTCTCTAAAAAGATCAAATTTACCGTGTGAACTAGAACATATTTTTGTACAACTTTGGAGACAGAATACAATACCAGTTTTGTTCTGCATGTCTGACGTTGTTATAAACGTTCAATGATGATGTTTTTATACTATGTTTTCCCTTGTGCTGAGTTAAGTATCTTATCCAAGTCTACCCTACTAACTCACCTCAAGAACTTTCTAAAATAAAGTTTTAGTTAATCTGAAGCATGGAGAAATGTATCTCATAAGCCAAAGTGAGTCTCTCATTATACCCAAATCGAGTGCTAAGCACTTAATAAATGCTAGTTATATTGGATTCTAAAAAATGGTGACCTAATAACTGAGCCCTTTAATTTCTTTTGGGACACAGTGCTTCAGGAAATTCTTAGTCAATTGCTTTAGCAAAAGTTATTAGTTATAAGGTTCATTGCAGATATTATATGCATTTACTCAGCATAATTTATAAAAATATGCAATAGAATAAATTCTAATAAAACATCATTGTCAAATACATAGGCTGTTGCAAAGATGTACTTTTACCAAATGTCCCATTTTTATATACTGTTTCTACAACCTGCCAGATATTCAGTGATACAATAAAAAAAAATAGACAACTTCTTCTATAATAATATTTTAAGACAAGAATCTCATTCTCTCCATAATTAGTTCTTAATACTTTGGTAGAGTTAACTGCACATGCAAATAAATACAATTTGTCCTGAAGTAAAACTGGGGCAGATTTAAGGGGGTATACTATACCAAAGCAACGGACTGTCCTGGTAATTGATGGAGAGGATTATAAGGCAGCAGTTTTATATTAGATAGGTCACTTGTTCTGAAAAGTTCTAAGTGCTGTTTTCTGGATTTTATTTTGACAGAAAAGTTTTAGAGACAGTTTTTGACGAAGTCATAATGGTAGATGTCTTGGACAGTGGTGATTCTGCTCATCTAACCTTAATGAAGAGGCCTGAGTTGGGCGTCACGCTGACGAAGCTCCACTGCTGGTCACTTACACAGTATTCAAAATGTGTGTTCATGGATGCAGATACTCTGGTGAGTGTGGCTTTGAGAGCTGAGAAGATGCATGTAGTAATGGAGACCTTATAGGCATTTGAGGAATGCTGTCAAGGCTTGCCAGTAACGTTCAGATAAAGCCACTGTCATAAAAAGTGTCAGGTGATGAAGGAGATAGGTCCAGGCTGTCTTACAGCTGTCATCATCTTTTGTGTTGGATGACATGGGGAGAACTTAAGAAGGGTCTGTTGCAGCAGAACATTCCTGTAATGTTTTTTCTCCCCCTTTGAATCAGGTCCTAGCAAATATTGATGATCTTTTTGAAAGAGAAGAATTGTCAGCAGCACCAGACCCAGGGTGGCCTGACTGCTTCAATTCCGGAGTCTTTGTATATCAGCCTTCAGTTGAAACATATAATCAGCTCTTACACCTTGCTTCCGAGCAAGGTAGTTTTGATGGTATGTATCTGCCATCTTCACATCTGGTAAGCTATTAGTAACTTACAGGGGCTATTCTGTTCTCCTCAGGGATATAATTGCGGAGGTTTCTTGTGCCTGGAAGATACATGAGATGTAGCAAGCATTTTAAGTTGCACTCTTTTGGGAAATACTGTTGTGTGTTTGTGTGTGTACATGCTTTTTCTCTATAGATGCATAAGATTAACCTAAGACAGGCAATTTTACAGGGTTCTCTTTAAATAGCCTCCCTGTTTCTAGATTAGATTGTGATAAATGTACCATGATTATTAAAAAATTCAAAACACTGTTTGAATAAAAAACTTTAACATGTTTAAACCTGATTAATCTTAAGCTCAGGAGGATTTGACTGACAGCCATTGATAACAAGAGGATCCAGCACTGTTTCCATGGAAACTTGAGGAATAATTCTGATAATTTGGATCTCAGTCTCTTGGGAGGCCTTAAAAAAGAAGCTGGAAAGTTTATATGAATAGTCTTTGCTTCCAAACTCTCATTTTCTGTAATATTGTGTGTCAGAGTGATATCTGTAAGGCCAAGGAGTAGAACATTGACAAAGTTAGAATCCATTTTGTATCGTGCATAAGTATGTCTGTAGCTATATATATTTATAAAGGTTCTGACTACCTGTGATATAGGACCTCACATCCTTTGAAGAATTTTAATCAATGAATTTGTAGGTATGCTTTCATTGCAGACTGGTCTCTGAAATAATAAATAATAAGCCATTTAAAAAAAAAAGACAAAACCAATAGTTAATATGTAAAAGCAGTTCTTTTAAAATTACCATTGATAGTTCTTTTAAATAAAAGACCCAGTAGAGAGAGGAAGAAGGACATGCTCTAAGAAGCCTCCCAGCAGTGGCTCATTATCAGATACTTGACATTGTAACACAGCCCAGGAAGGAACAAGGGGATGCGCCAGAGGCCTGAGCTCTGGAGCAGACACTCACACCAGGTGCTTCTTTCCTCCTCTTCCCTCTCCAAGAGCAGATCTGAGATTGCAGTGAGTAGATCTTTTGGAACTAGCAGAAATAGTCTTTCTCTAAAATAAAATAAAATTAAAATTAAATAAAACAATAAATAAATAAATAAGGAATAGTCTTTCTTGTTTGACGTAAAATTCAACCCAGGGTGCACATACGTGGATTCATTTTGATTAGTTATAAAATTAAAAATCAAAATCTTAAATTTAAACTTTTAAATCATTAAATCTAAAAATTTGTTAGATTATTTAAGTTAAAACATATAAAATTTTACAAAAAACTGAGATTGGTTTTTTGTTGTTACTATTCACAGAAATTGAATTCTGTTTAGTCATTTAGGTGAAGTTTTGGAAATTGCAGCTATGTGAAATATCATTGACAAGAATAAGGAAGTTCAAGTCTTCATTTTATTTTACTGTTTAGCTAGTTTATAGTCTAAGCTAGTAGTTTGCTCAAACAAGGATGATTTTGACCTCCAAGGGGCATTTGGCAACGTCTGGAGACATTTTTGGTTGTCACAACTGAGGGAGAAGGGTGCAAATGGCATTTGGTGAGTAGAAGCCAGGGATGCTGCTGAACGGCCTACAGTGCACAGAAGAGACCCTCACAACAAAGAAATGTCCAGCCCATACGTTAATAGTGCCGAGGTTAAGAAAGTCTGCTGAGGCATAACACGCTCCAAAACAGAGCAGAAATATCTGAACCATAGTGGACGGCAGCATCTGACTAGAAGTACAATCTTGTTTCAAGGAACCTTAAAGTAAGAAAGTAATAATGTGTTAAATGTTCACTGTAGTCAAGGCTAAATGAAACTTCCCCACTTTACTGACATGTTTTTAGCTTCTGCTATTTTTCCTTTCATATTGGGAATGAAAGGTGTCTTGTCATTCAAGTTCAAAACATGTATTCCTTATTCCTACTGCTTATACTGAAACAGTTACTTTTGTGTAAAAGGAAGATGAGAGTATTTTTGGCAGAAGTCCACTGTTTGTCTTAACCTTGCCATCAGAGCGTAGCTTTCTTTACCTCCTCTCTTGCAATTTGAAGGAAGTTCAATAGAATCCTGGCAGAAATTCAGTGTAACTATTCTCAACTTCAGTAAGTGAATCACATTCTAAAGTGGATCTTATGGCCTGCCAAATGCCTAAAATCTGCATGATTTTAATCATGCATAGAATCTGATTTGTAACCTAGAAGAATATCAAATGTTGTTGAGAGATAAAGAGTTTGAATGCCGAACAGTAGTGTGCCATGGTAAACTATCCAGGTCACAATTTTAGAATATAAAACAAATTAGTTAACTGAGAGAAACTAACCTGAACCATCTATCATGTTCTAGAATCTGGAGGCACTAGAGGAGTTGATGAATTTGTTAAGAAGCCTGAATGTATGTAAAATGCTCTACTAGAAAGCACTTTCTGCATGTTCAGCCAGAATATTAAACCATAGGGAGATTCCCTCTGTGCCTGCTAGCACATTTTGTTATTCAGCAGCAGGTTCCAGAAGGTGGCCATCCTCTGGAGGTATTCCATTTACTGCCTCATTGGTGGCAAAGGATTGCATTTTCTGTTACTAGAAATGCTTAGTTGAAAGAGTTGAAAAGTAGTCAAATATGTAGCTGAGAAGTTATAATTAGTTGTCCATATGTTTAAATTCAACAGAAGAGTAAACTAGCAGCTCTCAAATGAAAGACTGTTTTCACTTGAAGTATGTGTTACTAAGCTTTACTCAGCAGAGAAAGCTCACGCCATACCTTGGGAGCCTGCTCCTCCTCCTCCCTGGAGAGGCTTACTGTCCACTTGAATCAGTGTGTGAACTCATGTGACCTAAAGACTTGTTGGATTTATGCCTGATATTAATAAAGTATTTCTTTATGAACGGTCTGACGGCACTAACCTTGCTTTGCCTCAAGTTTTCATAGCTTAATAAAATCATATTAAGAATTATATTTTAAAAATTTTGTTTATGTGTCATGCCATAGGCATCAAGTTGAACATTTTCAGGCATTTCTTCCACTCTTACTTACATTTTTCTAATAACCACAGGCTCTCCCTCCTCCTCCCCCCAACTCCTCTCAGTTTTGCCCCAAGATTTTTGGATTATGGAAGACCAGTTTTGCAGATGACTGTATCTCAGTCTGAGTATCTTACAAGTCCCGCTTAATCTCTTGCCTTATATTCAACAGAAACTAGTGGGGCCTGCTGTCCACCGACAGCCGCTGATGGCTGAGCATTTGCAGCTGCTTTCACAGCCCTTCTGGTGTGAAAGAATGTGGCTGTCATTCTCCTAATCACCAGCCCTCTAATCACATCTCCCATACCGCCTCCCCACCCCACTCCCTGTGTTTCTGGCCAAGAAAATGATCCTAATATGGCAAACCATGCTAGGTACCTTGACTTCTCTTTCTTCCCAAATATCTAGAGTATTAGGATACTAGTATGAGATCTAGTGACTATATACTTAATTCATGGCTGGCATCTAATTTTCCGTAGTGAAGAATCTAAGTTCCTATACTATTGTTTATATCTTCAAACTGTCTTGATACTTACTTCATCACTGAAGTTACATGTTTCCTGAAAAATTGAACAATAGCTGTTGTGAAATAGTTATACACTAGCATTGTATAAGATGTTAACATAAGGTTAACTCCAGGGCTTGTTGGCAGTTAAGAGGGGAAGAGAGAGGCCATGATATTGTAGGTACTAATGAGCAATTTTGCCTCCACCATATACTTATGTGAAATGAAGCTGATACACTTGACTCTTAATTTGAAAAAATCAATCTGAATGCAAGTTGAGGTTTATTTTCTTTTCCACTTGGACTAAAGTATCTAAAGGGTGCTTGTACAGTTGAAGATAACAGTTTAGTGCTTGAAAATTGCTGTCTATTAATTTCATATGTATGTGTTTCAAAAAACCTAAGTCAGGGGAATTCATATTTTTCAATTTGGAGTGTCTTTTTTTTTTTAATCTTTATACTCATTTTAATTACTGTAACCTAGATGACCTAATCTTTTGATTGGTGTATTAGAAATTTTGGTCTGTAGTCGAATTTTCAAAAAGAAGGAAAAAATAGAGAATAAATTGGTGGCAGATTATTAGATATGCTTTTACTTTAAGCAGAATCTGCTGTGGGGGCAGTATACGTGTGTTCTACACTCTAAGTGGTCATTGAGACCCTTAAACAGAGTACAATGTTGTAAAAATATTTTTAACAGAAAAGATTTGGTGCTAAATTCTATTAAAGTATAAAATTGACCCCATGTCACCTTCCTTAATCTTTGTAGTTAATTAGGCTTCATACTGGTCCTGCCCAAAAAAGGAATGAAGTTCTGAAGTATTTCAAGATGGTACTTGTCTCCTCCAAACCAAATGAGCCCAGAGATTTAGGTGTGCTTCACTTGGTTCCTTGACTTGATAGGTTCTGCCTGGATAGTTATGTTCCCGTGTTGGCTTTCCCCAGTTGCTCCCAAACACTAGTCTGCTTGCTGCCCTTAGATTATTAGTTGCTTTGAAAAATGATTGTTATCTTGCATTGATATCATTTGATAGTTTAGGTAATAAGGATCTTAAATAAGCTGAAAAGCAAAAGCCATAACATGTAATGGCAAAATAAATGAGCACACTGAAGTTTTTTTTCTTAAGAGCTATTTTTATCTCATTGTACTCATGAGTATTTTTTTTTAACTTAGCCATCTGTTTTTTTCTAGCTTTGTAACCAGCAGAGATCATGAACCCTGTGAGAACTAGAGAAGGAGGAGGAGGACTAGTGTGCTAATGTGTGTACAGGCTCTTATGCTAGTCATTTTACTTTTTCACTTATTTCTCAACAGTCCTGTGAGGTAGGCATTCATTCATTTAACAAATGTTTATAGAGGGCCTGCTATCTAGCAGTACTGGGACTCCACCATTGTTATAGTTCAGTACAACAGCTTGTCCAGTGTCTTTCTTAAACTCTGTGGCTGGGATGTCTATACGTCGGTTTGTTTTTTTTTCTT